CCCCTTTTTTCCCCCTTTTTTCCCCACCTCAGCCTCGATTTCCTCTCCCGCTCCTTCCAAGCACGGGATTCACCAGGAACACCTGGAACTTTTCCCATGGAATCATCCCCAAAATCCCATTTTTTTCCTTCCCATGTCGGGATATTTCCTCTGCTGGGGCTGAGGCTGGACCCCGTTCATTCCCAAGGTTTATTCCCAAGGTTTTTTCCCGGCTGGAACATTCCCAGGGCAAAATCCAGCCGGGAAAATTCCCCAGGAACGGGGCCGAATTCCCGAGGGATTCGGGAATGCGGGAAAAGGCGGAGCGGCCGCCCCGGGCTGGAGCTGAGGATCCTCGGGAAGTTTTTTATTCCTCGGGAATTTTTTCAGCCCATTCCCAAGCCTGGGAATGCTGTTCCAGGGGTTGGGAATTCCGCTTTTCCTTCAATCCTTCCCGAAAATCCGGGATAAATGTTTGGGAATTCCGAGTTCCCGGCGGGATGTGAGACCTTGGAGCGGCCGTTCCCGCTCCTTCCCGAAAATCCTGGATCGAGGCTCGGCTTTGATCCTTCCCTCTCCCGGATCTGAGGAGCCGCGGCTGAACTGGAAAAGTGGGAAAAGCCTCGTCCCTCCCATTCCCGAATTCCCAAAGCTCCTCGGAGCGGTTGGATCCTTCAGGAAGCGCTCGGGGAGCCTCGGCCCGAGCCACGAGTGTCCAGCCTGTCCTTTTCCCGGGATCCGTCCCGGATCCCAGACCTTTTCCCGGGATCCCAGTCCCGGATCCCAGTCCTTTTCCCGGGATCCCAGTCCCGGATCCCAGTCCTTTTCCCGGGATCCCAGTCCTTTTCCCGGGATCCCAGTCCTCCCCCATCGTTCTCCCCATCCTTCCTTATTCCCAGGATTCCTTTCCTCACTTCCAAGCCCGCTCTGTCCCTGCCCGTGTCCCGGTTCTGTCCCGGCTCTGTCCCGGCTCTGTCCCGGTTCTGTCCCGGCTCTGTCCCGGTCTGTCCTGGCTCTGTCCCTGCCCGTGTCCCGGCTCTATCCCGGCTCTGTCCCGGCTCTATCCCGGCTCTATCCCGGTTCTGTCCCGGCTCTGTCCCGGTCTGTCCCGGCTCTATCCCCGCCTCTATCCCGGCTCTGTCGCGGTGCCACTGTGGCTTTAAGGGCGCAGCCGGGGCAGTCCCGGTCCAAAGTCCGCGGGGCCGGTTCCGGAGCGGCGGGGCCGGTTCGGG